CTAAAGTGGCTTATCGTCATGGATTCGACATTGGTGTTGTGAATTCAACATTGGGCAAAGCAATTCCAAGGTGAAGACAGTAGTAGAAGAGGCACATTGGGTTTGATTCAATTCGGGCATGGATTCGCTAGGTAATTGAGGGTACTCATGTGTAATTCCTTTTTTGTCTTCTTAGTGAATTTTTGTGGCTTTGGCCCGTAATTTTTTATCACAATTGGAGGTGTTCTAATTGTGACTTTTTTTATGTTAAACGTTACACCGATTTGTTGTTGATTGTTTGATTGGGATTGATATTTACTATTTAAAATTGAAATATAATCAAGAATCAATATTTCGAGAGTTTTTAGATTTTTTAGAAGTGATAGATGGTGGGGTGAGAGAGAATCTGAGCCATTGTATAGCGATCCCGGTTTTTCCCTTTCTTTTTTTTTATTCCGAACTCGGTTCCGTGGTTGATGGTTGTTGTATGTGTTGCATTTCCATCCTTTAACTCTTAGTGAGTTTAGAAATGTTTTGGGCGTGTTTGGAACAGGTTGGTTAAGCTTTGGCCTCAAGTGTTATTGCCCAGGTTTTAGGTGATCCGCTCAAGCGGGTCCTTTGCGCTCGAGCGGAGTACGCATACTTGCAGTATCTTGTGCGTCTGTAGAACTTCTGCAGATGTGTTTTTCATTCTCAAGCGGGCCTCTTGGCGCTCAAGTGGGTGTTCGAACTCTGTAAAAGTACTAGATGAGTGAAATCTACGCTCGAACGACTTTCCTTTGCGCTCGAGCGGGTGTGTTTTGTTTTTGTGTCTTGGCGCTCTAGCGCGTATTCTTGCGCTCGAGCGGGTCCAGCTTTTGTGTTTGACGCTCGAGCGTCTTATTCTCCGCTTGAGCGGGTCATACGTATATCAGTTCGCAGCAGCAGCTTCTTCTTCACTTTTTGATTTCCCCTTTTGTCTAAAACCCTAGATTCGACTCCCTCTCTCTCTACACTCACCTTCTCTCTAAGGATTGATCTAGTTCTTGGGTGTTCTTACCCTAATCTCTTTGTAAGAAAGATAGCGGGTTGCGTGGGCTTCGTTTTGATCCGAAAAACTTTGGGATTGGAGCACTTCCGAGTTTGGCTCTTCTTCCCCTTGGGTTCTCCATTTGAGGTAGGGATTCTCCTTGTTCTTTTTCAATACTCCGTCTATAGATAGACATGTGGTAGTTTTGTATTGCATGAAAATCTTATCATGTTGAATTTCTTTGAAAACCATGTGAGGGAACCTAGTGTTGGTTGTTTGATAACTTATCATTGATAGTTCTTTGGGCTAATTGGAATGTAAATTAGCATGTTATTGTGGAAAGAAGAAAAAGCCCTAAATTATGTTTTGATTTGGTAAATTAAAATGGAGGGTAGTTGATCAATGTTTGTAAGTCTCTATTATTAATATGAGTTGGGTGAAGGTGTTAATGCCTAAGGGATTAACTATGGCTTTGGGGTTGTTTTGACATGGGAAAAGTGTTTTTGGGAATAAGTGGTGTAACATGTTGACTTGGAAGTTTATGAAAGTTGACCTTGAAAATGGAAAAGTTCCCTCTTTTCCTTTTTTCAACTTCACAGTTGTTACAAGATAACCAAACCAAACCAAGCCTTGCCTTAAGTCCCATCAAATGGGAGTTGTTACATGATACAACAATATTTTTTATTATAGCACTTCCTCTTTTTATTGGTGAAGTAAAAATTTTATAGAAACAGTACCCTAGGACTTAGATGTTCAGTTAACAGTGGCTCCTTTTTTTCTTTTATCCTTGGAATCATGCAGTTTACTTGTTAATTTTTTTTGTTTGCAGCTGTTTTCTTATCACCTTGCGGAGTATGTTTTCCGTGTAATGAGGGTATTGCCTTTCAGATATTACTGCGATATGATTTTCGAAGTCATGAAAAATGGTACTTTTTTTTTTTTTTGGTAACTTTTTTTTTTTTTTGATAAGATTTAATATGATTTTGCTAAAGGTGCTGCCATTTCATTTGTTATATTATGCTTAGCTTATGTATTCAGAAGTTGTAGTGCATTAATTCGGATGGCATCTTTCTGTGAGGTGCCCTTCAAGCTGTTTCTTTGTGACTAGTATGTTGGTTTTAAATTTCCCCGATGGAAACCACATTTTTGGATATGAAACACAGTATGGGTTGTATTGCTCTACACTATCAGGAATTTGGTTATTGAACCAAGTACTGCCATGTGCTTTTTGCTTTCACAAACATATGTGATCATCGTGCTTGAATCAGAAATTATGATGGTCTTTTCATATCACTATGAATTAACTTTTTTGTCAGTCTATACTTATTCAAATCAGAGGAGAACAAGGAGGCTGTACATTTTCTACAATCTTTGTACTCTAGCACATACAATATGTGACAATCGCTGGTAGGTTATGCCTGCTTGCTTGTCCACATGTAATAGGGTTAGTGCAGGAATGACTATCTGACACAACGTGGTTGAAGTTTGATATTTTTTTTTGTTTTGTTTTGTTTTTTGTGTGTGTGTGTATGTGTTTTTTTTTTTAGTTCATTACTATCTCTTTAAATGAAATTTCCTGTGATTGGATCTATGTTTCAGTGTTACTCAACCTGTCCTGGTTTCGTTCTCTGTGTAGCTGTATATTCACTTTAGCAAGATGTGTCAATATTTTATTCAAATTTCATTGGTGTTTTATCATTCATATCCTTTTCTATTATCTGCAGAGCAACCTCATGACAGCATCCCGAATTTTAGTGCTGCAGATGCTTTGTGACTTACAGGAATAGGAAGAAATGAATTTATTGATATCATGAACAAGTGTAGATCTAAGGTACATACAGTTAAAAACCATTTATATGGTAACTTGTTTGCTAGTACCTACATTTGTCTACACCTCTATCAATTTTAGTCTGTCTTGATGTGTAAAATGATTACCAATCTTCACATATTTACAACCTGATATTTGTAGAAGAACCATTATATGAGTACGATTATATGGATTCATTTTTTTATGGGTAAATTATACTTTCACCCCTTTGATTCCTAAAGAAAAGATTCTCCCACTTTGGTCCTTGAACCACCTGACTTTTCCTAGTTTGGTCCAATTTTGAACAACCATTATGATTTTGTGATGAAAAATGCCACGGGACACCGGGCGACCCTGATTCAACCTAGATCAAGGGTAATCCATGGAAATACTAAAAAATTGTCTACCCCCCTAAAATGTTATCTTCTAATTACATTAAGCATCTTCACATCATGACATATCACCCATTAAAATGTGGTCCACACCACCTAAACATTTTCTCCCCCTACCCTGACTCTAGCTCCCATCTCAACCAAACCTTCCTCTCTCCTTCCACCTTTCCTTTACTCTGCCCCACAACCCTCATGGTTAGCCCCTCCCCTCCCCTCCACTTCCAATCTCCTCCATGCCACCACATACCACCATTCTTTTTATGGCCATCCCTTTCCCTCCCCTCCCCTCCCCTCCCCTCCTCTCATCCCCTTTCCGACAAGGCTGCACCCCACCACAGACCACCACCTCCTACCCTTCCCTGCCCTTCCTTCCCCTCCACCCCACTACAGATCAACTCACACCACTGCCCTCTTGGTCGAGATCTCTCCCCTCTACCTTCCTTTTTTTCCACCAGCCACCATTGACAACTGTTGGCCACCGTCGCCACCATAGCAAAAAATCAAGCCACGACAACCGCTGATACTACACCAACATGCTATCACCCCCAGCATCTGCCCTACAATTGTGATAGCAACGGGCCGGGTTTGGGGCTGGTTTGTAGTGCCCCCCTCCGTAACTTTAAAATGGGAATACTAACAAAAAATTAGGCACAATATAGTATATTATGGATAATGATTTATAATTAATGAGAGTTCAGATGTAAGATGAGAATAAATGAGTGAAAATGAATGTTAAAGTTTACTATTTTAGTGTTTTATATATTATAGAGAATGAAAGACGGAGATGAGAAAGAGAGATAGGGAAAGGGGAGCCTTATATATTAAATATTTACTTGTTACATGTCCATGATCTAGTGACTATTGTTAGTATGTAGTATTCTCATGTTGTGGAATACTTATTAGTCAAGTTGGTAGAGAGTTGAAGATATTGACAGTGACATGTGTATTGCTTGCGATATCTGACTACCTTTCATCTCATCGCGAGTCCTCCAAAGAAGCACCTAGCAATTCTTGTGACTGCCAGTTTTTCATTAAAGACTTATAGGGACAACCTGAGCGATGTCTCCTTTTGCCACTGCCTCCACAGAAGACTCCTTTGTCTTGAAATACTATTATTCGTTCATTCCCAGTGACAAAAAGGCTGTTTGTAAAGATGAAAGTAAGGAGAAACACGGGCAGGAAAAATAGTTTTGAGTGTTTTACTTAGAAAAAAAAGTGCGAGAGTTCAATTGATTAATGCTGAAAACCAAATCTATTGGTCTGAGATGGTTTTGGTAGTCTGCTCATTTGGCCTTTGCATACATCTTGGATGCTGCTTCATCATCGCTTCATCATCTTGTATTAATAATGCATTTTTTTTATTTATTAAACCAACGATGAGATGTAAAACCATGGCTGGCAGAATATTTTCATCTTTGGATGACAATCTATTTTCTTTCCAACGGATAATAAGTATCTAGAGGATAAGAAGTTTTAATTCTTTGTCATGAGCAAGGTTTTAAAAAGCGGTCGCAACCGTTACGTAACGCCGTTACGTAACGGTTTTGGCGGTTACCGCCACCCGTTACGGCTGCTTTTGCAGTGTGATTGAGATTCACAGGTGTGTCGGCCGTAGCGGCTGCCGTAGCGGTCGTAATGGTACCGTAACATCTGTAACGGCCTGTTATGCGCCGTTACGTAACGGTTCCAAACTGTTTCTTTCAAAAAAACACACAAAAAAAAGTTGAAAATGGGGGAAGAGGGATAGAGAGAAGAGGGAAGATAAAGAGAGAAAATGGAGGAGTAAGAGATAGAGAGAGAGAAGAGGGAAGATGAATTTGTGATTGAGCCATGGTGGGGAGTTTGTCTTGTCAACTTTACATTGGAAGAATTTAAGGTAAGGTGTCCAGTCCACCTAATGATACTGAACTGGAAGTACGAACTAGTTAGTGCTTCCTTAAATTTATTGGCAGTGAAGCATAGACATAAAGCCCTCAACTATGCACATTTTTCGGTATAGCTTCCATTTTTATCTTTATTTGATTAATTTTTAGAGGGGTTTTGTTTCCCCCTCTTCTTTTGTAGAAACTCTCAGAAGAAGAAATGGCAACAATTGATAAAGTTTGTAAGGAGGAAGCAAATTCATTGATACTTTTTGATCCTGAAATTGTGAAGGGCCTTTTCCGAAGGGGGTTGATCTACTTTCATGTCCCTGTTTATCCTGATGATAGTTTTAAAGGTAATTTCTTTGCATCCAGAATTGTCATATCAAAATTAGTTGCTTAGTTTTCCTTTTATTTTTTTTCCTGTTTATGTCTTCTTCTTCTTCTTCTTTTATTTTTTTTATTATCAATTTTATTTACTTTTCATTTCTCATAACTTTGAGTATTTCATTTTAGAAGGTCCATATCATGTATTTTCTTTGTGGGAGCATGCTATTCTGGCAAATAGTATAGCATGATTTGCACAATTTTATCTTATTTCATTTTTTTTAATCTCAAATTTAATTTGTTTGATATATTTGTGGCTTTTTTAGTCCATCCCAATTGGTCTTCGAAAGTTCTGTTTGTTAATTTAACATCTTGTAAACTTGCACTTACTGGCTGACTAAGAGCATTGGATTAAAATTTGACCAAGAGATTTGCGCAGATCATTGAGAACCTTTATTTGACTCTTATTTCTTAATGAGTGGAAAGAACTTCGGGTTCCTTCTGGCTATAAGAACCTTCTTTTTTTGTGGAGGAAATGGAAGTTGTTCTTCAAGGACATTGATTTCTAGTTATCCTTTAGATATATATATTGAAATAACTGTTTACAGGATGCATCCCTGAAATTATTTCTTGTCCTATAGAACTACTTATTTTGAACTTCAGTAATGGTTATTTTTGTTTTTCTTTTAATGCTCTTTCTTCATTGGTCCAACTTAATTCACTAAACCTTATATTTTATCTAATAGGTTGGGTCTTACTGCCAAAAAAAAAAAAAAAAGACACATTTGTGTCTTTCCTATTATTTGTCTCTGAGGTTGAAACCAAACCAAACCAAACCAATTCTTTTAAGTCCCATCAAATGTGGTCGGTTACATGAATCCTTCTTCTTTATGCGGCTCTATCAAAGGTCATTTCGTTAGTCAAATTAAGTAGATCTATATCTCTATTTATAACACTAACCAACGTTAATCTAGGCCTATCCGGTCTCCTAACACTATCTACTGTCACTGTATCGCATGTGTTCATTACTGTCTTTATTGGTCTCCGTTGAATATGACCAAACGATCTCAATCGATTCTCTCTCAACTTATCTTCTATTGGTGTTACTCCTATCCATTACCGGATACATTCATTCCTAATTATGTCTTGTCTAGTCTTGCCATACATCCATCTTAGCATACTCATCTCAGCAACACTTATCTTATTTACATGTTTCTTGATTGCGCAACACTTCGTCCCATATAATATCGTTGGTCTAATAGCTATTCTATAGAACTTACCTGGGTATTCGTTTATCGTACAGTATCCCAAATGCACTTCTCCACTTACATCATCCCGCTTTAATCCTATGGGCTACATCCGCATTAATCTCCCCCGCTGTTGTGATAATCAATCCTAAATAACGAAAATTATCACTCTTAGGTAATTTCATATTTTAAATTAAAATATTAAAATGTAAAAAATATATAAAAATGCTTCATTTAAATTTAAATTTTTAAATTTTATAAAAAGCTAAGTTGTTTATACCTCTCATAAAAGATAATACACAAATAATCAATTTAATTAATATATATTTTATTTTAACATTTGACCCATGTTTTGCACGGTTTTTTTTTTTTCTTCTCTACCTAGTGTGTGTTAGTCTGTGAATATATATATATATAGTATATATAATGTATGAGTGGCACAAGCGCATGTGTGCTAGTAAAAAAATAAAAACAAAAAGTAATAAAACATGCTTCTCATCATACTATTATATTTTATTAAACAGTCGCAATTTATTTGTAAAACATATAAAGAACACTATCTATATCTATATATTAAATAAAGAAAATGATATTTTTAGTGCAGAACTTTATGAGAGTTTCAATATCTATATTAATTTTTTTTATTTTCTAATTTAAAATAATTAAGAAAATCTCTATTAGTTAGCTTTTATTTGATTAATCTCTAGATCGGTAAAAAGAATAAAAAATGAGTTGTTTTACTCGTATAAATGAATTTTATATTGCTATCCCATTTAGTGAGAAGCCTTATAGCAGTTTCAATAAACTCATTACTAATTTCTTAATTTAAACAATTAAGAAAATTTTCATTGATTAGCTTTTATTTGATAATCTACTCATGGGAAAAAAATGAAAAAAAAAGAGTTATTTTACTCATATAAAGTGAATCTTGTACTCCTATCTCATTTAATATTCTTAGTGCTGTGCATATTCAATTCAATAGAGTTTAAATTTTAAGAGTTTTAATTAATTAATTATGACCTAACCGATTAGGCTAAATCATTTTTGATTGATTGATTTATTAGTTTAACTGCGATTTTAGCGATTTATCAAAATATATTGATTAAATTTGTTTGATTTGAAATAAACTAAAGATATCTGATTGTGATTGAAAGACTGAGATTGCTCGATTAGAAATAAGTTTTTCATCCAAATAATTGTTG